AGGTTTACTAACTAGATGGTTACTATTTTTTTTTAAAGATTTTATTTATTTATTCATGAGAGACAGAGAGAGAGAGAAGCAGAGACACAGGCAGAGGGAGAAGCAGGCTCCATGCAGGGAGCCGGATGTGGGACTCAATCCCGGGTCTCCAGGATCACGCCCTGGGCTGAAGGTGGCGCTAAACCCCTGGGCCACCCGGGCTGCCCTAGATGGTTACTATTAATTCAACCAACGGAGCAAAGCTGTAATTAACATATAAAATAGAAATAAGTGAAACATAAGATCATTAATCAGCTGTAATAAATCAAAGTAAAGGTCCACTTACTAAGTCCATTCTAAGTCCATTTCTTTAGCTGGACAAACCATATTTAAGTTGTGTTTATTTATTTATTTTATTATAAATTTATTTTTCAGTTGTGTTTAACACACATTTTCTCAGTGCTGTGTACGCAGCACGCTATATATACACGGTGGGTCCAGAACTTGAAAGAAGTGGGGGGAGGTCTGGTGAGGGAAGACATATATCTAAACAGATTATTTCAGAAAATATTTTATCCACATGCCTCCTCTCTTAGCAACAAGATGATTGCACTGTACCTATTGTTCCCAGAACATCTTTATGGCAGTAATAAAACCAGAATAGCATCATTTTGTCCATTAGACAATACATAGTGCCTTGGACCTAGGAATATTTCATGGGCCTACAAAAATGTGTGTGTGCGCTAAAATACAACATGAAAACAGCAGATTGAAAACTCGAAATTGTAAAATAAATGTCTATAAAACATGTAATGTTAACCTATTTTTAAACTTAATGGTTCTCAAACTTGACTGTGATCAGAAATCCTGGAGGCTATTAAGTTAAGGCAGATGGCTGGGTCCCCTCACTAGAGGTCCTGACTTAATAGGTCTTGGTTGGACCCTGGAATGTGCATTTCCAACAGGTTTCAGGTAACACTACTTAATCCTGCTTGTCTGGAGATTGCATTTTGAGAACCAACAATCTGAGAATGTTATTTACCTTTTTTGGCTTAACCATCCAGGTAACACCATTGACTGAATTAGGATATTCAACTGAAGGGGCAACTTGAAGGAGAGGTAAAAAGATGATAAATCTGGCCTTTTCAAGGAAACAGGAAAAGGCCATCAAAGCCTACAGAGACTCTTTTAATATATTTCAAAAAAAATTGAATGCAACTCAACTTTAATTGGGCAGGTGAGAACTTGTAAGACATAAACATTTTCTGTAGTAAGTGGTAGAAAATGCACTTGTGATGTGAGTTATCTAAACTTGGATCGGTGCCTAGCATAGAACGCCCAGGAAACCCCCAGAAAGTTTGTAAGAACAGGGTATATGACCATGCTCACTCGCACCAGCTTTTCAGTTTAGGAGTTGAGAACTAATGTGTGTTTCTGATTTCTAATGAAGTTTCCAAGCTTCCTGGATCAGCCCTCTTCTTGAAGTGTCCCTGGATAAATGGCCCTTGCGGCACTATAGACCCATATCATTTTATGAAATTCTCATTTAGGAAACATGGCAAATGACAGATGATGGCGAATAAAGGCAAACGATGCCTCTAGTGTACATTTACTACTCAGAACACGCTCAGGAAAAAAAACATGGAAACAGGAATGTGAAGATCTGCTTTTGCATTTCAAACACCTTCAGAAAGTTAGCTGGCTAATATATAGATTATATATTATAAATTATAAATTTATAAATTCTTATAAATTCTTTATAAATTCTTATAAATCCTTATAAATTCTCAACAAAGGGCAGAGGAGTTTCATTTTCCTCATTCAAGCCTTGATTCCAGATGATTGAAATTAATTCTTTAGTATAGATGTCTTCCATATGATTCTCAAATTACCAGAAGCCTATGACTCTCTTTGGATTGAAAAGACACCACATCTTTGGCAATTTTCCCAGTAAAATTATAAACACATATTTGTTCCAAGTCTGCTTCTTTCACTTGCTACAATAACCAGCACAGGAAATTAATCACCTCCAGACCTTATTGCCTGGACATTACGTGGAATCGTGTCACACAGGAAATCAGACTCCAGTCAGTCCAGTTCCTTCATGCTCTTGGACTAGTGCTTCTGCTCTTTGGCACACATTAATCAGTTCTTCCCGCTCATCGGCCAACTCTTGAGCTTCCTTACTTCTTCTCTACTGAGTCAGGATTCCATGCTCGATGGTCTGGGTCCGTGGACAGCAAACAGTATGATACTGTCTCGGAGCTTGTTAAAACTGTAGAACCTCAGGCCCCATCAGATGGGCATTTTGAAATCATTTTAAAAAGATCCCCAGGTGATCTACATGCATATGTGGTTAAAATGTCCTGACCTAGATTTTTTTTTTAAACAAGTTTCCTTGACTCTCCTATATTTCTATCTTCTCTCCAATACTCACTGAAAGCCAGTCTTTGTGAGATTGCTCATGCTCATGATGTTGAAATTACTGCTTTATATTTATCTCCAGATTTAAATACTCTTGTGAGCGGTATCATCTTATCTTCCTAATCCTAGCTAGACGCTGTGCCTAGCATGTGCTATTAGTATAATTGAAGTTCTGCAGATTAATTGCTATAGAGGTCATGAAACTAGGTACTAAGGGACTCATGACTAATAGTAGGTTAATGAACTACCGTTTTGAAGATTTTTGCATTTTAACTGGATCCTGGAAGGAAAAGGATTTAACCTAAATCATCAATAAATGTGCTGGGAGTTTTTGAGAAGTCAGCCAACTGAATGAAAGTAATTTTGGGGGCAAGTGACTTTATGTGCTCAAATTTCCCTCCACTTCACCCATCATCTGGGTGATTCAAAGGAAAGAGCTCTGAGTGCTTCTGGACTGGCTTTTAAAAGTGTCTTCCTCCCAGTGGGATTATAAAAACTCCAATATCTCCAGATATAGCCAGACACATGGTTCACACAGAAGACCGAGGCATTCTTGAAATTTGTGGAACAAGGAAGAGAAAGTTGGGGGTGAACAGGAATATTCAAATACATTGCCTTGTAATTGCTTGTCTCGTCACTGGTCTTCCTCACCAGACTGAGTCACCGGAGTAGGGATGTCTAGCCTATGCACACAGAACACCCCTGCCAGGCACCTTGCAGGTAAACATACCCATTTAATGAATTTGGGGGATAAAACGGTGTTAAAGCATTGCTCATGGGAGGTTTAAATGAAATGGCATGTTGGCAACAACATATCAGCAGCACTACCATTTGGATTATACCAGCAAGGGGCTGCCCATGTTAATTCCTAAATGCTGAATCCTGAGAGATCAATATTAACCATCAACTTTCACAGAGAGCCGCATCAGTACTTTTGGGGCTACAGATGCCTTTCTTAATGTCCCAGCTCCATCAGAGAAAGAAATTGGACAACTGTGACACTACTTTATAAACTGATTTATCAGGAGTCCTGCCTTCCCCTGCATAATGACTGCCTCACAAATGCTTTCTCTAACACTTGTTTGTAGAGTGACATAACATTGGCTGCAGATTTAATGTCACCATGGCTGTCATTTGCATGTGCATCAGAAACGAACGTGGTGTTGAAATGGGAAATTAAACTGGGGGACTATGAGCAGTGGTCCTGCTAAGATCCATCTCTCCATCCTCATTATTTCACCTGTTGGTTTATTTTTTGCTTTCTCCCATCACTCACGAAATTGTCAGGTCCCTGAGGATGCACAAGCCCAGGACTTCTGGAAAATAGTGTTTCAATAGTTTACATAATGGGACCAGTGAAGCCAGTATGTTCTCCATTGTGAAAAAGCCAATGTTCTCTTGCTTTGTTAATTGACCCTCAGCTTTAGAAGGAAAAGGGTGACTTCAGAGGGGAATGGAATAAGAAAGCAAATGATCAGGGGACTGACTTGTAGGTTTTTCTCAGTTTCAGTGATGCTTATAGAGAATACATGAAATTTTTAATGACACTGAATCCATAGTGGGAACGATCTAGAGAAAAAGAAATGACACACAAAATATTCTTATTCTATTCAGAAGATAGGAGGAGGGAGGCAAAGTTCTTTTCTAATGCAAAGTCAGGAAAAAATAAATCAAACTACTGTGGGTAAGTCACAGGAGATGAATTAGTTCTTCAAGTTTTGTTTGTTCATGAGCTTACCATTGTGGTGCAATTTAATGTGCTTGTCATTGTTCTTCTCCCATTCGGAGGATGAGCCAGGGAGTGGTAAATGGGAGAACAGTGCGGGCTGGCCTTATGCAGCACAATGTCATCTTGTGGAGAGTTAGGGGTAATGCTCCTAAGGCACCACTCTGGAGTCTCTGAGTGGCCTCTGTGAGGCACTGTCCTCTTCCTGCATCTCAAGATGTGATTATCACCATCTATCCTTTCATTTATTAATTCAAAGGAGTGAAATAAACATAAACCGTGCATTTACCTTACTATTATGAGTCATTCAAACACTAGGGTAGGGGTATGAAGGACATTTTAATCATATGTACCAGAGGACAAAATCTAATGCAGGGATGAAAATGAGTATTTTAGAATTTGGCAAATTTCTGTTGTGCACACTACACACCTGTGGCATGAAAATAATGGTATAAAGTCCTGCCAGGTGATTCAACCTTTTCAACCTCTGAATATATATTTTCTGATTAGGCCTCATTTAATCTCTTCCTCTATTCAAAGTTCCTTTAAGAATTGGTCAGGAGGGAAATCAATTTCTAGAATGAGGCCTTTGGTTATTAACCACAGGGTGGATTCTCGTATGTAGGAGATGGTTTAACACATTGCTCTGCTTGGATCCTAGTAGATTCCTCCTAATTCCATAATAATCATATTTAAAAATATTTCCCTCTAAATCCATTTTCAAACACTACTGCAAATCTTGTTTGACAAAACAATGAACAAAAAGTCAGGAACAAACTGTAGGGAATGTGTGTATAGAGAAAAAGCCCTCATTTACCATATAAGGAAAAGATTTCTTAAGTTTAAACCAAAGCAAAGCACATGACACATGTTAGTCCTAATAAAATTTTATTGAGAACCAGTATATGAAATTCTTTACAGAACACAGAAATACTTAATGATCCCAACCTTTCCCAGAGAATGGCAATATATCATTAGGGTGGGTTCCCTGAATATCCCACACACTCTGCTTTATACCTACAGGAGAGAAACAGTTCTACAGCTCAGCAATAGACAAATGGGATGCTCTGACCTATTTAGAAGAAGCAGAAGTAGAATCGGGATTCAGTATGAGTAAGAAAGGACTGCAGATGAGTTCTAGTAGCCAAAGGAGTAGATGAATAAATGTTCACTCTTCACATTCTGTATTTCGAATCAGCTAGTAGAAGGCAGGGCACCATAAGATCAGATACAAATAAACCCAAGGACATGTCTCTCAATTAGTTCTGTAGGGAAGTGGCAATAAGAAGACAGTGGTCTTGGATCCACTTTTACCTAAAACTCTTCCTACCATGAAGGCTTTTGATGCCAAATAATCAGAACTGACATCAAAGATGAAAAGGAGACCAATGACTCTAAGGATGAAAGACCAACTCAGAGTAAGCCAAAGCCCAATGGGATACATGGAAATGGCTGCGATAACTAACGTTCACATATTTTACATGATGAAAAGTTAACCACTGTAATTTCTCCTTACCACAGGAACAGAAACACATGGTGGGATAAATGAACATTGCTCAACACGCTTTGAAGGTTTTACTCCCTAGTCTTTGCATGGAGAGAGAAGAGGTACTGTGGATTTTTTGGGGAAGCAACTTTTGGGAAGGCATTTTTTAATCAAAAAAAGGTAAAAAAGAAGAAGAAATCTGAGAAATATCTGAGGGAAAATGACATAATAGAAATAGAACTACAGTGCTGTCTTTTCCTTTTAAAATGAAGAAGCTGTTATAAAAGTTTCTTAGTTTCCACTACGGTGTTAGGGTACTGGTCTTCGTTTTACAGCTTTGGCTTGAGTTTAAAGTCTTATCAAATTTTCTTACTTCTTAACCATAAATAAAACAACGGCATGAAGAGAAAATCCTGACAGTTAAACAAATTCTAAAAAGCTAAGGGAAAAAAAATGAAACTTGATTTGTGTTTGTACTGATGAATTCCTTAACGGATGACAGTAGTTAAAATGCAATCTAAATATTAACAAGAATCTTATTCAAAATGTTCTTCTCCCTGCCCTGAAGTTTTCCCAGGGTTAAGTTAATCAAGGCGTTTGGAGATGAACTGTGATTAAGGTTCCTCTGGCTAAGAGAAAGTGTGTTTTGCTCTCTTTCCCTTGGTTAGTAATTACAGTAGCTGGAAGTACAGGCACACTATAGTGAGATATCTAACTATACTAAATGGGTTTTGTTCTTTCAAGTTGGACACCCAGCCAAAGGCAAATTAGCTTTACTATGAATGCCAACATTGCTCATCAGAAACGAGCAACTCGTTTGCTAACCAGGAGCACTGGAGAAAGGCACAGCTAACCAGCAGCACCTCAGACCACAGAGAGGATAAGGTTTTCCCAACTAGCATGAGGAATAAGCTAATTCTAGGAACTAAGCAGTGGGCTATTTTTTTACTCCTTCTGTCAGTAGCCTTTAAAGGGTCAATTTCCAATATAAGATATTTTGGTGCTGAATGTGAAGTAACAGAGGACTTCTAGCCATAGGAACCAACATATACCCATAGATTTGGTTCAAAGTTAAAAATAGCATGCTTTTGTGATGGAGAAAGCCATGAAATAGGCACATTTAAAGTTTTTCAACCCTGTTTTTTTAAAGCTGCAAAATATTCTAAAATCACTTGAAACATACAGAAAAGATGAAATGAGCCTGGGAAAGGCAGCGAAGGAAGGAGGAGAAGGAAAGCTGATGAGTTGGAAAATTTATACAGAATGTGAAGCACCAGAGGTCCTTCATCTACCAAATGAATACATGACCTCAGGGGCTCAGAAATTGATGAATGTTAAGCTTAGGATACGCAAAGAGGATCAAGCTGTTCTAAACATTTTCATTGGATAATACCTCCTAAATAACAGCATTTCTATGAAAAGCTTAGTGTTTTTGTTCATGTTATTGGCTACATAGCACTCCTCGACCCTTTTTAAAGAGATGCAGCATACTGTACTATTTAGTGAAAAGACAAACATCCTGATAGATTGAAAGGAAGGAAAATATCTTATGGCTTGTAAACAAACAGCGAGCGCTAAAGCATAGTCATTGCCAAGGAAGTAGAACACAAGTCAAAGTGTAGGAGGTCAGTTGGACAGGGTGGACTCAAATCCTGTCACAACATATTCACATACAGAAAATTTGTTTCTTGATCTTATATTAATACCAAAGAACAAACACATTTAAATAAATAGTTCAAAAATACACTTGCTTATTTTAGAAAAGCAGTAAGCTTTTTGTTAGCTTATCTTGAATTAACCTTCAAATCAGAAATTTCAAAATCACATTGCATTTTAGAACTTTTTGATAACAATGTTGATTTCTAGAGACTGGATGCTATACTACCAAGCAGCAGCAAATTGGAAAGTATCTTTCTCTCTAGTTAAACCTGCAATGTGAATTTGAAAAATGATAGTTAGGTCCTTAAACCAGTTTGCAAATCTTGCAACTTCTGTCTCAGAAGCATATACTTAATATTTTTGTCCCCCTTCATAATCAACCACCTAAAGAAAAACAAAGTCATAAAACTGTCTGCCCTAGTGGAGGAAAAATACTATAAAGATAAAGGGTAATATCCACCAATAACCATATATTTATCTTTATCTACATTTAGTTTCCTTTAAACATGTTTTAGAACAGCAACATATGGTTATAAAGCTTTAAATAAGAGTAAGATTTCCTCCAAGTTCTGAAAATATATAGATACCTATGCCCTCAAAACACTGTACATATCACTCATCCTTCCTTTAGGAAGAAACAGGTTAAAGTTAAAAGATTTCCTTGGATATTTTTAAGTAAATGTAAATGACAAACAAAAGAAGCTAAAGACTCTATGTTTCCTTGAAAAGCAATGAAAGCACTTAGTCCAGTTTGACATACAGAAAGGGTCATGCAGTGAGTTGCAGGGGGTAGGCTTTCCTTTTATAGTTCAAACGCAGGGAACCTGGCTTTTGTGGGCACTAGGAGGTCAGCCAGGAAATAGATTGTTCCAGCCATTCCTGAAGGAAGAAAGAGGAAGTTATTACACCAAATGACTCTGTTCTATGCAGTGGCTGCATTCTGTAGCATCAACATTAAGACACTAATGGCAAGGGCTTCAATGAAATGGGCATCTGCCTATAATTATAAATGTTGCAGGTCAGTACCAGAGGAGATCGCTAGTAAGGTACTCAGTCCCTTCATCTGGGTGGAAGACAGGAAGGAGTGTTGAGCCAGAGAAGTTCAAGGCACAGCCCTGCCATTTATCACAGGTCAGCTCCTTCACATGGCACCATGGGCCACTTACCTGTCTGAGCTTCAGTGTTCTCACTGTGACACGAGGAGAATATGCCTGTATGTTTTTGGAGATGATGTATGATGGCATCTGCAAAATGCCAAGCGTGTGCATGACTCCATAGATGGCAGTCACCATTATGACTACTAGTCTTAGGTCTGAGAGAGTCCATGTACAATCTGATTTTTAATACTGAGTTTTCATATTAGGATGTAAGAAGTAGTTCAAGGAATGACTATAAAATTAATTCACTGATAAAGCTCAAATTCAAATACATTAATCACCAAGCAGAGAAGGAGATGCTGACATTATAAAGCAACTAAGTAACGTGTGGAAAATACCTTCGAAGAGGGAGAAAGGGGTGTCCGGTGTTCTGCAACCGTGTTCTCCGTAATCTAAACACCACTCAGCAAACTGAAAATGAGACAAGGTTAAATTACTGTAGTGACTTCTTCCAGAGACCCCCAAAAGTTGATAAAGATTATCCATAAGAATTACTCTGAAAAGTCAAAAACTATCTTCAAGGCAGAAAAAACGGGTTGATACAGAGACAGGTGGTCTGAAAGAGCGTATGAAGCAAGGGAGGGAGGAATTTTATGAGCTATGAACCACTATCTCCGAGGTTATCAGAAAACTACTTTCTTCTCTCCCCCCATAAATGCTTTTGAGTAGAACTGGGTCCTTATATAAGAAAGTGAATTCAACTGAATGGCTTTTGAAGGTTTTTTTCCTTAAGTAACTGGGTTTGTTCTACAGACTCATGGTTTAAAAGATAAATTAATTAAATCAGATTAACCAGAGCCCCTTCTACAATCTCCTGGAGGCAGGTGTTTTCCTTGTGACAGTTCTGGCACCTACCTTACAGGCCCGATACAGGTACTTCATGTCCTGTGTGAGGTTGTACAGTGTCAGGAAGGCGTAGGCATTCCCCGCAGTGCCATGGCACAGCCCATACCCCTTCCTCAGCAATCCGTACCGCCAGATCACATCAGCACACTGATGGGCGTCATTGAGATAATGTTCTCCTCTGAATGCCTGTAGAGCCAAGGCAAAGTCTTACTAGAAGGGATAGAAAAGAAACTTCTATTGACATTCCTTCTTAATGGGAAAGGCGGAGGGGAGTGGGAGGTGAGATGGAGGTGGCTTGGCAAGAAAAAGGGTAAAGGGATTTAGAGCCAGAGAAATGTGTCTCATTGGTGGGGGACAAATTACAAAAGTTTACTAGTTTTGTTTTTGCTTTTAGATAACTGCACATGACCTTGCCTGTACACTTTGTGCTTACGGATGTGGGCGTTACTGGAGAAGGAGCATTATTTGACTTGTGACTTGCTATTATTATTAGTTACTTTCCAAAGGACCACATACTATCTTCTCTGGTTAACAAAATGCCTTTCACTATTAGGAGATTTCTTTGCACAATGGAGAAGAAACTGTTTAGAAAACTGATTACAAAAGACAGATTTGATTATAAAATGCTATACTTTGTCAGAAAAATAGAGATATACCTTTACAATCTTTTGTGGCATCCTATATATTGATCAAAGATTCAAGAAGTACTCTGAGTAGACATTTCTAATATCTCATTGCAAACTAAGTGTTCTTAAAAGTAGAATAAGACAGTTTAAAAAGCTTTTCCATGATATCTAACTTCTTGCAAGTAAAATTTGATACACTAAAAGCTTATTTAGGGTATGGGATGCCAATGCTTGTTTATAGTTCATAGATTTGTAATTTGTAGATGTGGCATCAATGGACACAGATATCTTGATTTACTTCTATTTTTTTTTCTTTCAATTAAAACTCTTTTTATTTTTTTATTCTGGCCCTGCGATAGCATGCTTTATAGAAGTAGTATTTGTGTTTTTATTATAGTAAAATAAAGAAAATGTAAAAATTACAGTTCTAATCACTGGAAGTATACAATTGAATTGCAATAATTACCTTCACAATGTTGTATAATCATTACCACTATTGCCAAAACTTTTCATCACCCTAAACATACTGTGTACCCATTAAGTAAAAATGCACTCCCACCCCAGCACCAGTCCCTGGTAACTTCTATTCTACTTTCTTTCTGTATGAATTTGCCTATTCTAGATACTTCATATTAACCATCACATCATATAAAAGGATTCATGTAGTATTTGTACTTTAGTATCTGGCTTATTTCACTTACCATAATGTTTCCAAGGTTCATGCATATTGTAGTATGGATCAGAAGTTCATTCCTTCATATGGCTGAATGAATTCCATTGTGTGCATAAATACCACATTTTGTCTATCCATTCATCTGCTGATGGACACTTGAACTCTTTCTACCTTTTGGCTACTGTGAATAATGCTGCTGTGGAACATTTGTGTACAAGTATTGATATGAATCCTTGTGTTAATTTTTTGGGTATATATGCCTAGGAGTTGAATTGCTGAATCATCTATTAATTCTACGTTTAATTTTTTGAGGAACTACCACAGTCTCTTCTGTGGCAGCTGTACCATTTTATAATCCCACCAGCAATGCACAAGGAAGATTCTATCTTTTTTAAAGATATATTTATTTATTTGAGAGAGGGAGCATGTGGCAGGGAGGAGCAGAGGGAGAGGAAGAGAGAAACTTAAGCAGATTCTGCACCGAGGGCGGAGACCAATGTGGGGTTCAATCTCATGACACCAAGATCACAACCTGAGCCTAAACCAAATTAGACACTTAATTGACTGCACCACTCAGGTGCACCCCTTCATTTTCATAAAGAGAGGAAGAGAGGGCCGGGGGCAGAATGTTAAGCAGGCTGCATGCCCTGTGTGGAGCCCAATGCAGGGCTCAGTCCCATAACCCTGAAATCATGACCAGAGCCAAAATCCAGAGTTGGACATTTAACCAAATGAACCAATCAGGCACCAAAGAAAGATTCTATTTTTAATTGAACTTCTGGGATACTTATCTTGGCTCTGCCACTGATCCTATAACTTGGCTATTCTATCAATGAAGCAGTCTCCTTATCTATGAGATAGTGTCTGCTGTGATATAGATGGGTACTGTGAGAAGGAATTATAATTCATTTAGCAAAGTGATTATAGGTCCAACAAGTTATTTATACATTGCTCCTTTAAAGATTATGCATAAAACAATAAGAAGTTATAGAATTTTATCTTACAGTTTCCAATTTATTTTGAAAATGAGAAAATTCACAGTACCTTATAGGCCTGGATGAGCATGTAGATCACTCCAGGTGAACCGTGACACCAATGGACTAGAAGATCTCGATTGTCATCCACACAAGGAGGATAATTGCCGGAAGGAAATTTCAGCTGGCAGACATAATCTACACTGGGCTTGACCAAATTATGTAACTTCACATGGCTCACTTGAAGACTGGGCTAAAAATAAGAAAGGGAATTATTAGTTCTGCTAAAGCAAACAGGTCTTCCTAAATCTCAAGGTTAAGTGGCTAGTGTGTGTGTGTGTGTGTGTGTGTGTGTGAGTTTAGTGAGGGAGACAGAGAGGGAGTACGAAGGGCAGAAGGAGAGGGACAGAAAAAATCCTAAGCAAACTCCACACCCAGTGCGGAGCCCAAAGTGGGGCTTGACTCACAACCCTGAGATCATGACCTGAGCTGAAATCAGGAATTGGATGCTAACCAACTGAGCCACCCAGGTGCCCCTGGGATTAATTTTAAACTAGAAAGAAAATATGACCAAAAAGAACTAGAAGTTAAGAGGCTTTGGATTCCATTCCAATTTTTTTTTACCTATCAGAACCACCTAAAATTAGGCTACCAGTTACCTCTTGGGACTTTATGTACATACTATTTTTCAATATTTATTGTGTATACATACATATAAATATTTTCCTAAGTCAATGCATGAGCATAAGAGATGTTTCCTAAGGTTTTAATACCTTAAGCATATTTTATTTTTTTTAAATTTTTATTTTCAGTAGGTTTCACACCTAGCATGGAGCCCAATGCAGGGCTTGAACTCATGATCAAAACCTGAGCTGAGATCAAGAGTCAGATGTTTAACCAACTGAGCCAGCAAGATACCCCCATATCTTAAAAGCCACAAAGAAGATGCATTAGACAACATAAGTGGAATTTTCATTATTGCATTTAGAGAAGCAGCAGATGTTTCCAATAGAAGAGGAAGCTAACAAGTCAGGAGACCTAGAATCTAGATCCCAAACTGCTGTGTGACTCTAGATTAAGTCTTTCTGCAGAGGATTTGGGACTAGTATTTATGTAGGATTATTATGATACAATGATGTACAAACTTGTAGGATGCACTAACATAAGGCATATGAGCCTCTTTTTTTTTTTTTTAACAATTTGGCCTTCTCTCTCTTTTTTTTTAAGATTTATTTATTTATTTTAGAGAGTGAGAGAGAGAGAGCACATGGGGGGAGAGAGAGAGAGGCAGCAGGAGAGGGAAAGAGAGAATGTAAAGCAGACTCCCCACTGAGCACAGAACCCGACCTAGGTCTCAATCTCACGACCCTGAGATCATGACCTGAGTGGAAAGCAAGAGCCAGACATTCAACCAACTGAGCCACCCAGATGCCCCAAGCCTCCATTTTTGATATTATTTTTTAGTTTCTTTTTGGTCCTATTTTAAGTCATGCACTGAATTAGATGCATACATTAATTAAATTCACTGTTCACTTTTTCAAATAAGTGACTGTCCTCATCAGGCGGGGGTGGGCATGTGGGTAAGGGGATAGGCAGTTGTGTAAAAAAAAAAAAGCACAGGTACTGAATCTGCACTAAGTTCTTTAGGGGCATATATGGATTTTGCTTTATCAGAAGAATATTGTTCAAGCTCAGTTTAAAATGCCACAGTAGTAGGGGCACCTGGGTGGCTCAGTTAGTTAAGTGTCTGCCTTTGGCTCAGGTCATGATCCCAGGGTCCTGGTATCAAGCCTTGAGTCGGGCTCCTTGCTCAGTGGGGAGCCTGCTTCTCGCTCTCCCTTTATCTGCCCCTCCCCCTGCTTGTGTTCTTTCTGTCATATAAATAAATAAAATCTTAAAAATAAAATGCTACAATAGAATGAGTAGATTTTCCTCAAATTTGCAGGAATTTTCCAAAATGACTACAAATAATATTTTGTCTTATGTTGATACATAAGCACATACTGGAATGGACTTTTAGTATTAAAAGTTAAATCATTTCAATTAGACAATAATCTGCCAATGGAAAACTCAGAACATAGATTTCCAGATTTTTCACTGCCACCAAAAGGAAGCAGATGGAAGTAAGATGACTCCTAATGATCTGCTTCAAAGAAAGGTAATGAGGCTGTCCAGTCACTGACATATATGATTCTAACTCACCTTGAAACTTCAGAATACATGAACTCTCCTTTCCTGAAAACTTAATATATATTTACTTCTGGAAATACAGAGCCAGTGAAGGTTTATACCAGAAAAATAAAAGAGTCTAAGTCTGAATTGTCAAAACCCCTCATTATAAAGCTCTTGAGAAGTGCAGAACAAACACGAAAGTTGGTCTCTTACTGCCACTAACACTCAAAGTGTGACTTTGCATTCAAAAGCAATAATAACCTTGAGTTTTTCAGCTTCGTTGTCATTGTTTAGTTGTAGGGAGACGCAAGGTCTGACATTGATTCTGCATTATTGCAGCCAGCTACTCAACCAGCTAATAGTATGTATATCCGAGCACTCATGTTGAACATATTAATGAAACACTTTTCTTTATGCTGCATTGTACTTTGGGAAGGTGAGGGGGGCACCTTTGCTGCCATTAAAAATCAATTTTCTTTTGCTATGAATTCTTATTCACAGTGCCAATTTCTCTTTAAAGAGAGCTAAATAAGCCCCCGGAAATGATGCTCTCAGGAGAAGTCCTCTTCTGACCTCCCCTTCCAGGTTATGCTTGCTGCAGTAAATCCTATTTGTCCTTAGTCTGTTTGACTTTGGCTGATGTTTCCCAATAGTATTAGGTCCAAAGAACTGCTGGGCATATAGCGCATTCAGCTATTTTTCAGGTAAGTTATACAAAATCCACTGAAAAGGCTCTGTGGCTTTGCTCTCGAAGTGAGCCTTAGGCAACATATGCATTTGTTTTCTATTGATTTTGTTCTTACTTTTGGAATTTGTTTCAGTGGGTTGTATCTAATAATATGCAATAATATTAATTCAAGGCTTTTGCTCAAAGAGAAGAGCAGAGCAGAAGGCACTTCATATGGAAGTATAGGTCAAACCCTTCAGTCTGCAAAATGGCACTAGGCATGCAAGTACAGTCACCTACAAATCAAACGCCATCCCACAGCACAATGCTTTTTATGTTTATACACTTTAAAACGCACTGTGGCAAACACTGTCCTTGTTTGTCAAGGCCAGGTGATTACAGGGAGAGTGATGCAGCGGTTGACAGAATGACAAAACGGAGGGGAGCCCCGGGCTTCTCACCCTGGCCAGGGCAATGAGCAAGCACATTTTTGAGTTTCACCAGCTTCACCTCTTACCTGCATCAGCAAATAATAAATTCCTGCCAGGCCGTGAGCAGCCCCCACGTAATATTCTTGGTACCATTCATACATCAGTGGAGTCTTTGCTGTGAAGTTTCTCTTTTGGGCTAGGTTTTCTCCAGAGGTTAAAACTGCTTCACAAATCTACAGGGAGAAAATGGATTGAAATAATGAGAGAATCAGAGAATCAGAATAAAAATCTTCCCGGCGGAGATAAGGAACTTTTCGCTAAGAGAGGTATGGAGAACATGGTGAATCAGACCCAGTCTTATGGCCATGGGCGGGCAGTTTAGTTCTGTGCTCAGAAAGCAGGGGGGACTGCATTCTGCCTAAAAGAGGGAGAGATGGCAATCCTTAACTCTCTTTACTGGAGCTTACAAGAATTCACTTGACCAGGAAAGCTTTGCAGGCACGAAAGGAGACGCCTGCACCTGGGAGGTGAAATCTGGCCCTCATCTTCTGAAGGGCCTCGACACTCCAACAGAGTGGGTTGGACTTCCCACTCTTAGAACTCTCTAAGTGTTTCCAACAGCACTCAGCGTGACACTGTCAGCTCTCTGATCCCACCTGACCTTCAGAAGCCAGCTGACACTTTCCTTCTACCTGGGGTATGCTAACTGGAGAAACAAAACCAAAGTTCACATAGTAACAACTGGGATCCTAACAAGACTCCAAAAAGCACAAAAATGTGGTACCTGCTGAATATGGCTTTGAGGAATCTTTTCCACTCCAAAGTTCTTATTCACAAAGAGAAGAGCATAGACATAGCCCATTCGTCCATAGAGCATTTCATTTGGAGCATGGCGGTCAATTTTATTTAGGTGAATTAGTCTGGGAATAAAAATACATGCCGAAGATGACTTGAAAGGGATCGGGTAGTGGCATATACCTAAAGATGATACATTTAAAAAATACACACAAATATACATCTAAGTATTATAAATTACTATTATAGTTATTTTATTTTTAAAAAGATTTTATTTCAAAGATTTTATTTCTTTATTTGAGAGAGAGACATAGAGAGAGCATCAGTAGGGGGTGGGCGCTGGGAACTTGGGGGGAGGGGTAGAGGGAGAGGGAGTCCTACACAGGGCTCAATCCTAGGATCCTGGGATCACGACCTGAGCCAAAGGCAGGTGCTTAACCAACTGAGCCACCCATGTGCCCCACTAATATAGTTATTTTAAACATTTTAAATATATTAAAATTAATTTAATATATAAAAGGTAAATATTTTCACATATTTATATTATAAATTATATTATTATACATTAAGTGGGCTGAGCTGGATTACAAAGGGTAGTCAGGATTTAAAAATTAACCCTCAACTAAATTTTTCTTCAGTTCACAATGGAACTGACAAATTCAAAGAATTAAAGAATACACATGTGAGGCAGAAGCTACCTGGAGCCTCCCGGGTTCCTCCTGGAGCCTCCCCGGTTCCTCCTGGAGCTATGCCCTGAAACCAGCAGCTGGGAAGGTTAAGAGAAGCTAAGGACTGCTGCCCAGTATGGCATTTAGTCTGGAGAAAGGCCTCAGTCAGTGCTCAGAGGGTCACCTATTTCCATAAAATGAAAGCCTGCTGCACCCCCCCGTTACCTCCTCCTGTGGTTTGTTTCTTAACATGTCATCAGGTCAGGCTTACCTGAGGTGTCTGTATGGCAGCCTGATCTACCGTAATCGATAAAAATGCACAAACGTAACAGTCAGCCTCCCTTGTCTTCCCAGGCTCCCCCTTCTAGCCGTTCTTTTCAGAAATAGCCATGATTACCAAATTCTTAGATATTCCTAGAAGTACTTTATGCACATATAAGCAACTGTAAATATGCCTCTCCCTAAATGTTCTGTGGCTTGCTTTTGACAATACATTTCCACATATATTCTCGATCAGTCTCATTCCTTATCATAGTTGCATAATATTCCATGGAATGGCTATATTATATTAACTCTCTGTTGATAGACTCAGTTCAGCTTCTCAGAAAAAGTTATTTTTGGTTTTGGCTTCAGGTAAGATGGAGTAGATATATGCCCCACCCTGACTCTCCCAGTAGATGCAGCTCCAAGACCTGGAGAGAGGGCACAAAGCGGCATTTGAGGGCTCTAAACAGTAAACATTAGCAGGCAGAGTGGGGAAGACCAGAATTTGAAGTACCACCAAACCAGTGGTGAGTCTGCTATATTTTCATCTATGGTATTCCCCTGGCTTGAATTCAGAACAGCCTCAAACCTGGAAATGGGTAAAAAGAGCTGAAAGAGAGAGTCCTGGAAGAAGCCCTTTAGTTCTGTCTCAAGAAAGAATGGGTAAGGGAACTCCTAGTATCAGAGAGAGTAGGTCAAGCCCCTCAGTTTTGTTTCCTTGCATTCGCTCTGTTTATCCACACCCGAGGCCACAAGCAGTCTCGTGGTAGCAGCAGAAATGAAGGCAGGAGTAGTCCACAGAAGCCAGGTCTCTGAGGGAAGGACCCTTCCTCATAGGTTGAAGGAGCTGTGGCCCCATGAGGGTGAGGTAAGCCCCTATCGCTTTACTAATCTTTCTCGCCTCCCCATCATTTGGCCCCAGATACAGGCCCAGTCATGGGAATACTTGGTAGGGCAGGGTAACAGAAGCCCCAGATTTCTTTCCAGAGAACATGGGGAGTCCTAGGAAACCAGAAAGCAGGTGACAGTCACAGGAAATGAGCTCAGGAGAGCAACCATATTTGCAGTCTAAACTCAGAGAATGAATTTTTCTTCTTTTTGAGGGGGATAAGGGATGTGTGGAGGGTATAGGAAAGCAAATATCATAGGTAGGGAAAGTGTCTTTATTATTTGGATTTTATTACATGAAATTTTGAAAGCACATCTCAGTATCTTTAAATTATCCTATATATTCAAAGTAACACCATTTAAGTCATTAAAACAATATAATTTTTGGTGGTGAAGATGGGTGGAAGGTTTGGGAGGTGCTTGCTACAGGTTCTACTACTGTTTGATAAATAAGATCTACTAAGATTGTCTGGGGACAATATGGTTTTCTCTGAGCCGTAAGAATAGGGCAGGAGACTACTCGTGTGTATGTGTGTACATCTTCCTAATTAATGTTTGTACACTTGGTTTATTTGGCAGAATTTGGTCCACTGCTTGTGCTTTCATTTTAACATACTTAGTTATGATTATAGCTGAGGGGGTATATAGCTCCTAATAGCTACAAAAAACAAAAAACAAAACAAAACAAAACAAAACAAAAAACAAACAAACCAAAAAACAAAAAAACACCCTAAAAAGTGCTGCTACCAGGCTATAACCACCAGATACAGCAAAGTGTGTCTGGGCTCCCAAGGGGGGGTACTTGTGAAAGAGCAGACAGTTGCCGTCTCCCAACCCTACCTTCCCCTTCCATAACCCTGTGGGGTAAGGGGAGAGAAACACAGTTTAAAATTAAAAAGCCATGTTTAAATAAATAAATAAATAGCCATGTTTTAATAACCAGAATGAGGTACTTTTCGTGACTGAGAGGGGCTAACAGTTATAAACAAACTGAAAAAAAGTTATAAAAGTATCCACTCCTCATCAGGAAAGAAGGGTGTGAAAAAGCATGGCGGGCTGCATAACTGACAAAGTTATGTTATAACTCAACAAATGAAGGCATCTCAATAAATTGGTTACACATGCATGGTTTTTCTTCTGTAAATATAGCCATTAAACTCATAGTGGAATAGTGGTTATCTTAGGATTAGGGACATGGTGGCCAAAGGTTACTTTTCATTTTCTTGTATACTTTGAATTTTTCCCCCAATATCAACAGGGCTGTTTGGATGGTAGAATTATGGGTCATTTTGTTTTCTACTTCAATATCATACATGGACACACACACACACACACACACCCCTAATATTTTTAAGAACTTAAAAACATTTATTAAGAGAAATTCTATTTTTTTCTCATGCCAAAACTGGAGGTTCAGTAATGTTGAAATCTTAAGAAAATAAAATCTTTTTACTAGATACAAATGCAACTGTTGTAGTAAACAGAAGGAATATCTCAGAGTTTTGATTTAAAAGTTTATTATCAAGTTTTAACAAAGTATGTCAAATTGTATAGAATTTAAATATAACTACTTTTGTAAGGAAAATTTAATTCAAAAGGAAAATTAGCACGAATTTTTTAAGCAAATAGCTCCGTGGGAATTATCTGGAAGAATTATTGCATTAATTCCAATGATGTTCTCACACCTAAATGTGTTTGAACACATTTCCTATTTGCCAATGTTAGGGATCACACTACCCCTAGGTGGCGATATATAATTAGCATTCCAATTATTTTGCAGCCAAACTCATTTGCATTTGGGATGTTTAAAGTTGATAGCAAATACCTTTCAAATACCTGAAAATGAAGTATTGCTTAGAGTATCCTGATAAAATTATATTTCATAATTTAGGGTAAGAAAGGAAGTATTCCTTTTTTTTTTTTTTCTGGATTTGGCTTCAAGTCATTAAAACTCATGAGCTAGGTCTGATGATCAGTAAAGGTAGGACTTTTAACTACATGTTATACATGCTATAGTCTCAAAGTGAAGAAATGATAGCATTTATAAATCATAAAGATTATTTTATGTGTTTTCAAAAACTCTCAAACCCAGAGGCACATCATTGCAGCTCCATTTGTTTTGCTATGTTGATATTAATAGCAACCAATCTTCAGAAGAGACACATCGCTGAAATGTCACTGAAGGGAGAATAGACAACATATAAAGTGGGGGCAGTTCTGTTCCACTCCTAGCAATATTTCTCCAGGGTTTTACTGGGAAGAGTTTTGACCTTGTATCATCTAACTTTTTAAAAAAGAAGTTCTTTTCTTACTCATCACACTACAAAAAAAAAAAAAAAGTATACACTTTCTGACCAGAAAGCCGAAATTCTTCATCCTTCTGAGTTCTGGCCCCAAAGCACTGGACCTGTCAGGTTAGTCACTTAATTGCGTACTGTAAATAGGCAACTCTATCTCTTTGTGTAGTGGCACCAACTATCTGTGTGGAAGGAAGGTGAAAACGAACACGATACAAATCAAACAGCAGGAAAAATCAGTGCTGTTTATTCTCTTCCTTGCCACCTGCCCCAGCCCACTGTAGGACATTCTGCACATGAACAGATATACATAGGAACACACACTCCTTTTGGGGGAGTCACAGACTCCTCCAAAAAAGCATAAGTGTTCTCTCCATGCTGAACACGATTTGGGGATTTTATATGTACCTTTGGAAGCCCTAAGATTCTCAGGGCCCCAAAGTTAAGAATCCCTGCCTTAGGGAAACATTGACTTCTTTGATCTCTAAAACTCAAAATTATGATTCTGAAAGACTATTATATTAAGAAACCATAGGAAAGGTAATCCAAAAAAATGACGGTAGTGGAGGACAACACAGATACCACATAGAGAACTTGAGTGTCTCTGGTATTGCCAAAGGACTGTGTGATATGAGAAAGAAGGTTCAGTAAAAAATGAAACAAGTAGGTTTATTAAATACCTGATGACATCAAATTATTTCAATTGAGTTACAGAGACTTACAGATTTTTTTTTCCCTTAAAAGAGAGGAGACGTGAAAGCAATTACAAATAATTCCTTTTTTCTTCCTGTTCTTGCTATGAACTCTAAAAATCTGAAAAATCAAAACGGTGGCCATAAATGGCCTATTTTCCTATCATTATGCTCATTCTATATATTTTTTAAAAATTTTTATTTATGATGGAGAGAGAGAGAGAGAGAGAGAGAGAGAGAGAGAGAGAGAGGGCAAGACACAGGCAGAGGGAGAAGCAGGCTCCATGCACTGGGAGCCCAACGTGGGATTCGATCCCGGGTCTCCAGGATCACACCCTGGGCCAAAGGCAGGCGCTAAACCACTGCGCCACCCAGGGATCCCTCATTCTATATATTTAATCTTAAAAAATCTACTGGCTATATATAAAATATTGTTGAGCCATTGTAAAAGTTTTTAAAATGATATAAATAACAAAGTCATCTTTTTTTAAATCAAGGTATCAAAAAATTTTTTAGTTTACTTTTAAGAGTGTTAATAAACCAATATTAATATATAGTACTATTCCTCAAAGAGTGTTTGTTAAAACAGTACACCCTAAAATGTCATGAGGAAAAGGGTTGTCTACTTGACAAGTTTGGCAAATTCCACTCCCTAGTCTCTGGAGTTTCCTCCATGTAGCAAAAGTTACTCAAGACTCTACTCTGAGCAGCTGGTAGAGGTGTATATTTAACTTTGCTTAATTAGTGTTTCCCCAATCTGAATGCACAAATCTTGTTTTCATTTTTCACACAGCATACCATAACTACCTGGCTGTACGTAAATTGAGAAAGGCTGGCATTACATAAAAAATAACAGGACCCCTATGGCTTATTTTTATGATACTTAAGAGTGATTCACTGAATGAGACTTCTTTCTCAGCATATGTGTGGCTAATGGCTTTAAACTAGCTGTGCAAAGAAACAGAAAGGTCGTGTCTGTGTTGCAAATTTAGATAGTATATGCATTTGTCAAAACTCAACCAATATATATAAAACTTGGGCAGCTCGTTGTGTGTTAACTATATGCCAAAAGAAGAAAACTAAATGGGTATTGAACGCTGGTAAATGATATATGAGCTTTAGTATTTAGAAGGAAGGATACTGATGCCTGCAATTCACTCTGAAGTGCATCCTCCACCCCTAAAAGGATTAATAATGGATAGGGGAATGGACTGATGGATTAGATACGTGATAAAGCGAGTATAAAAAAATGTTAATGGTAGAATCTATGTAGTTAGATATACAGCTACTCACTGTTGTTTCAACATTTCTGTATGTTTGAAATTTTTCAATAAAATTTTGAGGAGAAAAAACCGTAGTTATCAGAATTTTAGGCCAAAAGCCTGTTAACGAAATACACTACTGCACAGTGTAAAATTAACCAAAGATCTTCTACAAATGAAATCAGTGATGTTGCTGGACCTAATTAAAAACATGGCTAAAGACCTTAACAGACACTTCACCAAAGAAGCAATGGTAATGGCAAGTAAGCATATAAAAAGATGCTCCGCATCATACGTCGTCAGGGAGTTGCAAATTAAATCATCGAGATACCACTACATATCTACTGGAATGGCCAAAATCTGGAACTCTGGCAAGGATGTAGCGCACCAGGGACTTTTCATTCATCACTAGTAAGAATGCAAAATAGCACAGCCACTTTGGAAGATGGTTTGGAAATTCTTACAAAACTACACACACCCTTACAATATGATCCAGCAACTGTGCTCCCTGATGTTTACCCAAAGGAGCTGTAAACTTATATCTGCACAAAACCCTGCACAATTGGATGTTTACATTAGCTTTATTCATAACTGCCAATACCTGAAAGCAACCAAGGTGCCCTTCAGTTAGGTGAATGGATAAACTGTGGTCCATCCAGACAATGGAATGTTATTCGGTGCTAAAAAGAACTGAGCTATGAAGCTTTTCAGGCCATGAAAAGACATGGAGGAACCTTAAATACACATTTTGAAGTGACAGAAGCCAATTTGAGAAGACTACATATTGTAATGTTTCCAACTATGACATTCTGGAAAAGACAAAACTATGGAGACAGTAAAATGATCAGAAGTTGCTAGGAGCCAGAGAGCAGGAAGGGGGATTAGCAAACAGAGCATAGTGGATTTTCAGGAAGGGAAAGTACTCTACATGATAACAGAATGATGGATCCATGCAGAATGCACACCACCAAGATGTAACTAATATAAACTATGGACTTTGGCTGGTAATGACGTGTCCGGGTACCTCCATCCATTGTACCAAGTGTACCACTCCAGTGGAGAATGTTGATACTGGGGGAGGCCATGTATATGGTGGGCAACAGTAGGTATATGAGAAATCTCTGTACCTTTCTCTCACTTTTTCTGTGAACTGAAAATTGCTCTAAAAAGTAAAGTCTATTAAACAACAAAACACAACCCAAAAGCTCTGCTGGAATTGCAACTGTGTGTTAACATGCTCAGTGGGAGCCTAACAGCACTATGTGCAGAGCTGCATGGCAGCCAGATTTCTTCATAGAAATCTCTGTGCTCCATAAAACCTAGTAAAATAATATTTGTAGTTTATTAGTACACAAGTTTAGTAATTCTTCATAATTCACAAGCTTCTAGTAGGCTTCCCTGATCTATATTAAAAAAAAAAATCTAGATTTGCATGTTCATTTGCTCCTAAGAAAAGCAATTCTGAATCAGTTTGTAGTTCAAGAGGAGGCCTCCCCCAGCCCACCACAGGAGATGAACCACATTTTTCAAATTATTGATCTTGGATAGCACCCTGGATTTAGTAATCACATGATTAGGCTTTTTTTTTTTTTTTTGTTATTAAACTGGTGTTTGATCTGGTGTGTGTCAGTGTCATTACATCTTACAATAAAATAGGGACTATAAGGGTTGTTCCTTAACTACCCTGGAATGATGTGAGACGTGATCAAATGACAGTAATAAGATTTACTGCGGAGAGAAAAGTAACTTTACTAAAATGTTCTTCTGCTAACGCACACAGAATCAATATGTAAATACGTCTAGATAATAATCCTCAAAAAAAAAAAAAATCCAAGATTACCGAGTGATGCAGTCTTCTGCTTGCTTCTCATTGTTCATCTTGTGATACACCACAGCGCCTATGGCCAGGGGGCCTGCATCCCCGCAGAGGAAGGTGATGGAACGCTTAGTCAAACTGTTCAGACTTTGCTTTACATAGCCATGTGCCATCTGTAGGTAAGCAGGGTCCCCAAACACATCATAGAGATGTAAGTAGAGCAGAGCGATACCTGAGAAGCAATAAGAAAATAATGTAAAGATGAGGAATGGCCTGTTGGCTGTATTATTTTGGTTTGTTGCCAACAGACAGACACTTCACCAAAAAGCAGTTGGACTGTTGACAAGCCATAACACATACGTAAATTAACCGTAAGTTCGGATGCCCTTAGTTCTAGACTCAGCTTCATTACCAAGCAGCTCTAAGAATCAGACACAGGCACTTGCTCTGTTTCTTCATCATGGCAACTGTAAATAACAGGCACTCTAAGACCCTCAAAGAATGCTAACTGAAGTTTATTATTAATCCTTGTCTCACTCAGACTGTGTGTTAATGTGTTATTCTTGATGATTAAATGACAGATTATTGAAACTCCGGTTCTAAATAGTCACCTGTTTAACAAATAATCATTTACTTAATCAATAAACAAGTAACATTTGTTCTTGTGAGCTAAAGAAATTCAAAGACTAGGGAGTGAAAAACTCAATTTTTCTTTATATAGAAGATAGTTTTTTTGAGTGAGAAGGTAGGTAGAGTAACCAAATTCCCTACTCCAGTATCATTCCAGGCAGGGATTATAGGAAAACTATTAAGTTATGTGAGATCTGAGAAAATAAAGTCAATTCCTCCTTAATTTTGTTTTCTCTGTGAAGGACTCAGCCACTTTAGGAATTATACTGTAAAAACTGCCAATGACTTTTGCTTTGGGCTGTACTCGATTTGCTTCTTACCCTGCTCTTGAAGCCTGCTATATATATAAAATTGAGGCGTTGTCTGAATGTCCTTATTCCAAATGCTTGTCACAGTAGATAGAGCTTCTGTCTGAAGCTGACTGACTGGTCTCAGGGCAGACTCAAAGATGTGGAGTAGGGGACCGGCCTGCCTGCAGCATTTCTAGAAAGTCATCTCTCCCCTTAAAGTACATTTTCCAACTCATTTACCATTTTTAGAAGATATAGAGCCTCTGTTTAAATCTAAATTAATAGAGCCCATCTCTTCATGGATTTCAGTGTAGTAAAAATGCAGTCTGCAAAATTACTTTTCACTGTACTGAGGACAATTTTAAATTTAGATAGTTTTCTCATTTTGCATGGGTAATCTCCAAAGCTTTGTTCTACAGACAATTCAATTTCACATGTATATTAAGGCCAAATTTTCACTTCCTGCCAAAGTTAATAACCTTGTCTGCTCTTTCAAAGTGGCTTGGTGTTAGTAATTCCACAAGCTGATGATCAGACATACCAATGCTGAAGGTCTGTAGACATAAGTGTACAAAACCACGCATGTAAGGCGAAAAAAAAAACTCCTTTTCACAAATGATCAGTGTCAAGAGCTTCTTCTACAATTAGGTTCTTAAATGGCTTCATCTCCATCCACACTAGGCATCTGCCGGCGATCCGTTTAAATTGTTACCCTTTCATTTTGGCCTCCTATTCCCCTTGCTGCCTGAACTCCCCTAATTAAGTTCTGTAAGCACCACAGCCAGATAATGACATGACTGAAGTCTGAGAAAATACAAAGTGATTAAATACAAGCCCAATGATTGTTTTCCTTTTCAGACCTTTGTCTCTCATTATAAACAATTCCTCTTGGCCTAAATCTTTAACAAACAAAACCCATTGAAGTTTGCAACTGTAAGGTCGGATGCATTTCTCAGACAAACAGGTAGTCATTTCTCCAGTCCACAATATTTCATTCATTTGAAAACCTTTTTCGTTTTTATCAGCAGGATGATCTTTCTGGCTTCTGGGATTCTACAACCTCAGGTTCTGTTTCTCTCCTTTCTCTCATACTGGGCCTCCGTGTCCATATATTTTGATTAAGCAATCTGCTGCACCTTGCAGTTTGCAGCAACCACCTCCCCCCTTTAACAAAAACACCCATGAATGAAACGGTTTAAAGTAAGGAGTGCTGCTGCCAATTCGAGAAAGTTTCCTGGACAAGCCTACTAGAAAACAATCTAGGTCTAGGGTACAAGACAAAATGTAGAAGTCAAAGACATGTAATGCCCCAATATTCTGTACCCCAGATGCCCTAATCTAATAGACAAATGGAGGAACTGTGTATAGCTAAATGTCTTGAACTTGATCCTTATGATCTTCCAACAATATTCACACACATGACATCACCTTAGCATAAATACCAAATGCTGAGAGGTAACTAGCAAGGTGGGAAATAAAGACACAGCCCTTAGGGCCCGGCAGAGAAAACTCACCCAGTCCCCTTACATATACAGTTATGCTTGTATCCATTCATAAACTCATCCCCAAGTAGGATTCCATTCTCCAAAGGACACTGAACATCATGAGAAAGAACACCGTAACTGACTACTAGGATAACAACCATCAAAACTGCTCATGAGACTCAACACATATATGGAATTTAATCTTTTTAATGTTTCCTTTTTCTTTTTGTCACAGGATATGTTATTTAATCAGAGTGTCTGGAGCTTAAATTTGAATAGTGGATAAAATTTCCTTCTATATTATTTGCAAAAGGTAGGATAAAGGAGATTTGCTTCCTTCTTCTCTTTCACCTTTTCTTCCAGAACAGAAAAGACTGAAGTGAGATTTAAATTTTGATTGCTTTTAATTGTAAATATGCTCCAAATCATTTTAGATTTTAGATTTTATTAAAAGAAAAAAAGAAACCCACTCCCCTCCCTTTTAAATCTGGAGGGATTTTGACATTTTCGTTGACATAAAATTGATGTTAAATATTCTGTTTCTTAGATGGTCCACTCTACGATAACTATTGTTATTAAGCTATGAAAACTAATGCTTTTTTTGGTCTGAATTTTATGGTCTTTTTAGATTTAGTCATATATATGACTTAAATTTATTGACATATTCTAAATGGGAAAATATTCCACATGAAGAGAGATACAATGAGAAAGGAATAAAGCAAAATCTAATCCATTATTTGCCCATTAATACCAAACTTATTAAAGATGACCAATAAAGCATTTGGGATAACTAATTCTGTTAGGTAATGAGTCCTCTCCTTCAGGAATTGGAGGTTATTCCCACTCTGGTTGGTCATACTTCATTTCCTAAAGGGTATAGGAAAGTTGTAATAGGGATGCCACTTCTATTTTACATGAAATCCAGACAAATTTAATATCAGTAAAAAACCAATCAAGTACCTTTTAGAATTAGGCATGTGAAATCAGTAAGCGTTTTAGAAATGCCATGTTCATTCTTAATTCACAGCTCTGGAGACTGGCTTAGTGGAGAAAGAATTGAGAGAGGTGGACAGAGTATCCCCTCCATCTCTGGGGAAAAAACAATACAACCAAGGAGAAGGAAGTATGTATGGAATGTGGACCAAAAGGGGAAGGCTGAGAATGAGCCAGTGCATAGTACTCCCAGCAAGTGGAATTACCTAAAAAGTTCATGTGGATGGGAAGGCTAGGGGATGACATGGTTAATAGAGATAGACTCCTTGGGGGTTCAAATTATCAAAAAATCAGACACAGGTTTGATGCTAATCTATGGATGGTTTATATAAAGGAGTAGTATTTCCCTCTAAAACCTTTTTTTTTTTTAAAGTAGGCTCCACACCCAAGCATGGAGCCCAATGTTGGACTTGAACACACAACCCCAAGACTGAGACCTGAACAGAAATCAAGAGTTGAACGCTTAACCAACTGAGCCACCCAGGCGTCCCAAAAAGGATTTTTCAAAGGTAACCCTATGGGTCAATCCAGATGCGACTGAATATGCAGGACTTTATTAGGGAACTGGATCCTAGTCATGTACCACATGAAGAGTGCTACAGGGCATCACACCAGCTATTACATGCTTTGGCTTGGAAGCCATACATGCCACTTCCAACTGCAGCCCCTGGACTAGAAGAGGTCACCTCACCTAATTACACTGAAGTTGAGCGGTTTAACCCTCCTGGGAGTCCAGAAAGAGGGGGACACCAGATATAGGTGAGCACGAGACATATCTAACACAGGGCCTGGTAGTGGGGAAGAGGCAGAGACAATGAGCCAAATCTTTTACAGTTCAGGTTTGAGATGTTCATCAGACATCCAAGTGGAGAAGTCAAGTAGGCAGTTGGATGTGTCTTTTCTTAGGGAAGAGAGTCTGGACAAATGTCCTTAAAAGGTGTGGGGAATCACTGACTACTAGAACAGTCAGTGATTCTCTGATGCACTTTAGGAGCAAGTGGGCTAGAAGATTCATCAATCCAGTGTAGGTAGGGGTTGTTTTTAATAAAAACAAAAGCAAAATACCCTTCTTTTTGGTCTGAGGCTAGAAGAAACCCAGACATATATTACTTTGTTCTTACAACTCCTAGAGCTTGTTTGGTTGCTTACAACTGTGGTGTCCGATATGAGAGCTTATAACCATAAGTGTCAAGGAAGTTAATTAAAAGTAACCAAAATTTAAAATTCAATTTCTCACACTAGCCATATTTCAAATGCTCAATAGCTACATGTGGCTAGTGGCTGCTGTAATGGACAACAAAATAACATTTCTATCACTGCAGAACATTCTAAGGACAGCACTGCTCTGAACACCAAAGATAGATGTCATTGTGCGTAAGAAGTTCAGGAAGTCTGGCACTGCCCTCATATCCTAGAAATCAGTTTTTGGAATGTTGACAACTAACTTACTTGAAAGAAAAAAAATAATGACATAGGGACCGAAGAAAACTTTGCTGTAATAGGAATCTGTCCTGGTTCTTAGTATGGAAGCTCTGAACTAGATTTTTCTACTGTTTCCTTCTGTAGCTATTACTCTGGGAAGGGAGGGTAAACTGCTTAGGGATACTTCTAAATCTGCAATTTCCTTACTCAGCTACTTATTCCCAGTAGTACTATAAATATAGCCAGCTGTTGAGAAGTAATTAATACTAAGCCTTCACATTTCTGAGGGATCATTAGTCCTATTCATCTTGACCAATCAAGACCTTCGTGCGTCTCAAATGTATGTGGACATGATAAAAATCTCCACAGATGTATGAACTCTCAAAAACACTTGTCTGTAATCCTGCATTTTAGAGATTATCTCTTAACATTATTCATTTATTTTATAACCAGTCTGCACTGATGTGAGAACCTTTGGCGTGGTACTTCCTCTGTAAGGTATATCCTTGTAAGTGAGGTCTTTTAAAGATTCTCTTCATGTACTCTGGTAGGGAAAGTCATGCTTATATTCAAATACTGCTGGAGTCACTAGAGGTACCCAGCTAACACCCAAAGAACAGGTGTCAATAGTTTTGAGTGTTACTGAAACAGAAACTCCCTAGAAGGGTGATGGGTTAATCTGAGTTTCAAATAAACGGTTCCCTAATCAAAACTTTGAAAGCTCATCAATACCATGGTTTTTTCCCTTTCAGGTTTATGAAAATGTGACAGTTTTCTCTCATTAACTCATTAACTCCATACAGGGTATGATCACCTGTCTTTCTACATCAGGTTGGTACTTTCTGATACTGTTTTGAACTGTTTCTCAGTTTTGTGAAGGTGTCTAAGTGTATTTTTATTTTTTCAACAAAATTACAGTTGTCTAGGGTTGCCTGCATGGTTCAGACCACTAAGCATCTGACCCTTGATTTTGGCTCAGGTCACGGTATCAGGTAGTGAGATCAAGCTCTGCATCAGGCTTTGCGCTCAGCAGGGAGTCTATTTGGAATTCTCTTTCTTTCCCTCTGCCCCTCCCTATCTCTTTCTCCCTTCCTCCCTTATTAAAAAAAAAAAAAATTATGGTTGTCTTGAGGGCAGGATTTCCATTCCCAGTCACTGTCATTACTGTGTACAGTGCTCTCCACAGAGCCTGTATATCAACACTGTCTCGACCTAGTATATCTGCTCAACTGTCAGCTTAAAGTCAAGCATCACAAGCTGCTGTCCACTGAGAGCTGCTCTTCTCCAAATACTTGAGTACAAGTAATATGGCAAAACCAGTTGTGACTGTGTACCATTAACTAAATAGTATTATCTCAAACAAAGTAGTAAAGAAATGAGGGCAAAGATGTGCACTCAGAAGATGTGCTTTTTCTCTTTTTGTATTTCTAGAGCTGATTGTCTAATAGGAAAATTCGATTTTTAAAAAAGGAGACCTCATACTTTCCTCTTCCTTCCCTCGGTACCCTGCCTCCTATCAAAATAGGAAGTGTCCCTAGTCTTTTATTCAGGCTGCCATTAACAGGTGATCAATCTTTCAACAGAGTAGTCATTAAGAGAGCAGGCTCAGGAATCAATGTCTGGGATTGAAGCTGCCAGTTACTCGCTGTATTTTACCTCATTTACTAAACCTATCTATGCCTAAGCATGTTTATCTATAAAATGGAAATAACAGTAGCTACTCCATTGTTACTGTGATTCATGCTGAACATTTCAAGTCCTTAGCACATAGTAACTACTCAATAAATGCCCAACCCCATTAGACTGCGAGCTTCAATGAGTGTTGAATCAGTCACTTTGTCTCATCTCTGATGCCTGATTGAAAAGGACAGAAAGGGGATCCCTGGGTGGCGCAGTGGCTTGGCGCTTGCCTTTGGCCCAGGGCGCAATCCTGGAGACCCGGGATCGAATCCCACATCGGGCTCCCGGTGCATGGAGCCTGCTTCTCCCTCTGCCTCTCTCTATCTCTCTGTGACTATCATAAATAAATAAAAATTAAAAAAAATTAAAGAAAAAAAAAGAAAAGGACAGAAAGTACAGAGGGAAGCAAACTCTTCTTCCCATGTTCCTGCCTCTCTCCACCCTTACTGGCTCCTCGGACTAGAAAAATGTTTCTTGTACTTGTGCCATCTGGCCCCTCTCTTGAGCTTTCTGGGAGTCTTATCTGTCTCCAGGCATTCCCTCTTCTCTCTCCTTTTTCTCATATAGTAATCCATATTTGGACTATCCAGATGGTTTGAGTTTAAGGAGGTAAATTCAAGTCAGGCAGCAAAAAAGACACCCCCTTTATATCCAGTGCTAAACAATAGGCTCTCTCTCCAGCTTTACAAAGTATAGAGCAGATATTATGAGCTCTAATTTCTTAGTTCATTTCTCAATTGGACCAGAAGCCAAGGGAAAGAGATGTGATCGACTCTTCTACATCCTAAGAGATATGAAATAAGTTGAATTCCACTCCTTCCCCATTCCTAGTTTGGTTTAAGTTATTGTTTTTAGTTTGTATAGGTGGTAGCTTGAATAGTAATGGCAGGACACTCTCCGTTTGTTCGTTCATTCATTCAATACATATTTATTAAGCACCAACCTTGGACCTGGCATTGTGTTAAATGCTTAAGTTACTGGAATAAAAATGACAAAACACTTCCCCAGTCTCCTCGCTGTTATCTCTAAAAGGCAAGTTGCTTAGATAGGTCTTCTTTCTTTCCCTCCTGTCATTTCTTTAATCTATCAACATATTTTTCCTGCTTTCGGTGTTTCATCCAAGCACACTGGTAGCATTTAAATCCTATAGCTGTTTCAAGCCTATATCTCAGCCACTTAAGATAACCTATGTACAATGACATCAGCACTGCAGAAAATGCAGTCTGAAAGGAGCAAGTGGCAATGACACTCTGGCAGTTCTCTATCTAGTAGTCACTGCAAAGGGCTGTAATTAATCCAGCAGAGATCCATGCCCTTTATTCCTTCTGCTTGCCCAGACAGCTCTGGCTGGGAGGCATAGGTGCTTCTCATGAAGGTGAAGGACATCTGCATAGATCTCACATTAGACACTGAAATGCTGGCTCTGACTGAAGAGCTATGTAATAAAAAGATCAAATTGCAAAGAAAAGATACCTGGCCAGAGTGATTCCTTTCAAATAAGTCTGTTATCAGCAGAAACTAAGCCCCAAATGCTAAAGCTGGAGCTCAAAGGCTATACATTTGGCAGATCAGAGGAACAGCATCTTGAAACACTTTAATGACTTGCATTTAGAGCGCAAGTTAATATTACTCCAGGGATTATGCTGCATATCCTCTTATTTAAAATGTTATCTAATACTTGAAAAGAGGAAATATATGCTGATCTTAGCTTCATTAACTTTGTGAGTTGGTTATAGAAGATTGGGTTATGTCTTTTAGAACTAAAGCCCCTAAGAGTCCTGTGTGTATTTTTTTTTTTTTAAGCGCGAGCTGATCATCATTTCCCTTAGGAATCATCAGCGTTAAGAGTGGGAAAAAATGAAATTAAATGAGGGCTGGCACTTTCTCTCATTCTCTCTTAAAGACACTGGTGAGATCAGCTATCCCTTGGGTTTACTTACCTCTTCTACTATGTTATCTGCAAGGGAAGCAATCTTTTCTCCTAAACGCTTATTTCTAACACAAGAATATTTCATCTGCTCATTTAATTCTCTATAATAACAATTCCTCACTAGTGTCCCATAATTTTCTAATTTATAAGGCACTTTAGAATCTCTTCCTCCCTGAAACCTACACCTATCTGGAACAAAACCCAGAGCAGCCCAAACATAGGTGCTGTTAGACCCTCTGGTGAGTCCCAACAGATTCCTGGACACCACTTTGGACCCCTTGACAGCTGGCCATGGGGTTCATCTTAAGGGCCCTGCATGCCTATTCTTTGTCTCTACTGTCTGCTGCTGTGTGCATAGGCATAAAGAACACTTCTTGATGCAGCATATAAAGAACCGGAATGTTTGCCTTGCTTCCCAAGCTGGGAGTGCATTCTGTAAAGAACTCTTAGGTAAATCTACCAGGAAAGGATTATGGCTAAGAACAAACAATTCAGTGCTTATTGGTGGCATATTTTATACAATAATATAATGATGCGTTATACTTCAATGTACTAAATTTTATAAAGGACGACTCCAGTGAAAAGAACTATTTCAAGGGCAGCCCAAGTGGCCCAGCGGTTTAGCGCCGACTTCAGCCCAGGGTGTGATCCTGGAGACCCAGGATCGAGTCCCCCATCAGGCTTTCTGCATGGAGCCTGCTTCTCCCTCTGCCTGTGTCTCTGCCTCTCTTTCTCTGTGTCTCTCATGAATAAATAAAATCTTTAAAAAAAATTTAAAAAAAAGAACCATTTCAAATATCACTTATTAACAGCTGTAAGAGCTACTGATTGTTTTCAGACTATGGGTGATACTTCATATAAGATCCTCAACGAGTCTTTTCAAATACAAGCAATTATGAGGAAATGCTTCTGTTTTGGCCCAGTTAATTTTCTATCCTGAAACCATATCCTAATTCAGGATTCGGAAGTACAGAAGCAACTTTGGTAGCAAAATGCTGGAGATAACATTGTTCTGGCTACAAATGCCCAAAAATCCTTCCAGGTTTACTTTATGTCCAGTCCCAAACAACTTCTTCCTGGAGGCTATTTAATAGTAATGATTTCTGCCTATCTCATGTCCCTCCTTCTTTCCAAATTCCTTTCATGTTCTATCTACTCTATTTTTTTCCTAAAACACTTAAGACTGACTAGTCATTAGCCACTTCTAAAATGTTTGCACAGCATGAGTATCATCATGTTACCAGTGTTCGAATTACTCCATCTTACAAATTATGTGTAGACCTTCTTCACTTACAAAATATACGGAGTGAACCCGAATATAGAAGTGGAGAGTAAATACACAGACAAGGGCACACACTGTCATGGGGTAAAGACCAGGTTTCTAAAGCCAGACTCACTGAGTTGAATCCTCACTTTCTCACTGGCCATGTGACCTTGAATAGGTACTCAGCCTGGTTTTGCTTCAGTTTTCTCATCTGTGAAACAGGGATACGTATAGTATCCATGCCATAGAGTGGTTCTGAGGTTTAGGTTAGTCATTCAATGCAAAGCACTCAGAATGGTGCCTGGCATATGACATTAGTTACTGGCATATGTGCACACACACTCTGGCTCCTGTCATTCAAATGTCGATCCTAACAATATCTTACTAATAGCAATCACTTTTAATCTTTACTTTTGTCCTTTAAAATGATCATGAAACTGCATATTGGGGCAGCCCCAGTGGCGCAGCGGTTTGGCGCCACCTGCAGCCTGGGGTGTGATCCTGGAGACCTGGGATCGAGTCCCACATCGGGCTCCCTGCATGAAGCCTGCTTCTCCCTCTCCCTCTGCCTGTGTCTCTGCCTCTTTCTCTATGAATAAAATAAATAAAATCTTAAAAAAAAAAAAAAGAAGGGATCCCTGGGTGGCGCAGCAGTTTGGCGCCTGCCTTTGGCCCAGGGCGCAATCCTGGAGACCCGGAATCTAATTCCACATCGGGCTCCCGGTGCATGGAGCCTGCTTCTCCCTCTGCCTGTGTCTCTGCCTCTCTCTCTCTCTCTCTCTCTCTCTCTCTGTGACTATCATAAATAAATAAAAAAAAATTAAAAAAAAAAAAGAAACTGCATATTGATGATCCTCATTCCCTTGGGAACTAAAATTTACTGAATATATTTATTATTAAATTACTGAATTCTTGTTTCTGAACATCAGTAATAATTTTTTTTAACTCTCAATTACTGTCCGCAAAATTGATTATTCACAATACTTCATTCCTGGATAAGCACTGAGACCCCAGAGCAATATATTGCCATAACTGCCTCATTGGCCAATATGAGACAGCTGCAAGGTTTGAAAATTTCTCCCTTCTTTTCTTTCCAAGGGTCAAGGCATCTTCTCTCTCTGTTATGAGTAAAAAAGGGTAAAAGTCAGGAATACAGGTTATAAAACTGCACTGTGGCAACCCATAGGAGTAAATATGTAGGCTTTAGTGAAAATGATGTCTGAATCCTATTAAAAGCCTATGTTAACTGTTCTCACCACTGTGTTATATCCTCTGCTCCCATTTTACAATAAAACCAAGATAATTTCAGTTGTCAAATAGTTGGTAAAGTGAATGTACTTTCTATAGCAATGATTCGCTTCTTTTTATTTAAACCTGTACATATCACTCTTACCAATAAAGCATTATGCACACAGTGTTTTCTAAAACATCTAACATAGAGGTACAGAAATTCTACTAAGTACCTTGTCACTGTTAGTTTCAATTTTTTCCTAAAAAGACGTAAAATGGGAAAAAATGATGGAAGTCCAATTTTTCTGTTTTAAGTACATACAGAATATTAAAAACACACAGTAGTTCATCTCTTCACTAAAACTCTTTCACTTTCAAGATCAAGTGAGCAACTGAGGCAAATACAGTCATAGCATGAATGTGGTATTATGAAGCTGGGCAGCCTAGCTCTGTTGCTTTTTTTTTACTGTCATGAAGCAGAAACACAATCACATGACTATGGGTTTACTATGGATTGATGCATGGTACAAACAAATTAAGGACTTTATAACCTGTGACAAGCAAACAAGAGTTTGAGGGGAAGTGGAAAGGAGAGGCAGAGAACTGTTTAGTCAAGCTGAGAAAATGTGAACATTTCATAGTATTAAAGTTTAGAACCAGTTGTAGTCCCTTTCTTGATATAAGTTACACTTAACTCTAGGAAAATTATTATGATTTGGCATTCCTACAATATGTCCTTCCGATGGCAGGGTTTATGAAAGACTAATACTTATTAAAAAGAAAAAAAATTAAAATGAGTAAATTTTGAAAAATTTGTATCTTGAAACGAATTCCATATGTTAAGTCTCCCTAGAAACACAGAATGGGCAAAATATTGCTTAAGAAATTTCAAAATATAGACAAAAACTCCTCCCAAATGGACAGACATTAGAGATCTTTTTGCAGATGGAAAAAATGGAGGCTCATTGTCTAAAGGAGAATAAGAAAAAGGATCTCTCTTCTTCTCATACAGGACTTATGGCAGAGATTACTAGGTCTTATCCCCACATGCACTTAACTCTTGCTAACAGACTACATTTACTATTCCTCCTTGCTAACAGGTGTGACCATGTGACTATGTTCCAGCCAATGAGAAGCAAGCAAAATTGAAATGTTGAATGGGGCTTCCAAGAAGTCTTTTAAAATGGGGAGAATGCATTTTTTTTTTCCCCACTGCTTTTTCCTTTCTGCAGCCTGAGAAATTGATGTAATCCGTGAATCTTCAGCAGCTATCTGGCCAAGAGGTAGGAGCCAGTGGCTGAGGGATGATGAGGTAGAAAGAAAGGAATCTGGGTTCTTATTGACATCCTGAGGCCTCTATATCAACTCTGGACTGCACTGGCCTTCTTTTACATAAGAGAAAAAATAAACTTTTATTTAAGTCACTTTATTTATTTATTTATTTATTTATTTATTTATTTATTTATTTTATTGATTTAAGTCACTTTAATTTTGATTCTTTTGGATATATGCAGCAGAATCTAATCCTATTCTAAATCCTAATTCTTTCTGAATGAGCATCAACTATCAGATCATACTTCTATTGGGGAATGAAACTTAACAAAATAGGTGGTAATTTAAAGTTCTACTTAATAATAATCTTGAAGTTTTCTCAAAGTACATAATGATAACTTTTAAAAGCTTTCATTGTAGACTGACAACAAATGCTCAGTAAGTACCAATGCTCTAGAAGGTGATCAAGTTTTAAAGGTTTTCTACAATAGCGTTTCCCAAAGTAATATGATTTTGGACATGTTAGCAACAAGAGCAAACAACAAATTAATATTTACAATTATATGACACTAAATTTGGTGACCAAAGTTAAATTTGGTGAACAAAATTAAAGAGAATCCTTATTTTCCAAAAGGTATCACTCTTTGGAAGACAATATGGGGAACACACGAAGTAACATACAAATCTACACATCATTATGTAAACACTGCTTAGACACACAACAGCAAATATTTTTGTGTCAAAATGTTTATGAATGCATTTTTTGGTGAGAAAATTGCAATAATAAAGAGCTCATACTTAGTAAGATACAATAATGGGAAGAGAAGGCATCGACATGATTTTATGTGTTGAATTAGCTTTAGTTTGTTATGCAATTCGGTTTCATGCTATCTAGATTGAACACTAGCAGGGAAGAAAAGCATTTTATTTACGGTAACATTGAAGGAGACAGTCCATTTTATGTGGGAATAATGGCTTTTTAACAGTGCTCAATTAAGAGACATTTAGGACCCCTGCCTCAAAAGCCATTAGCAAATTTATCTGGAAGATTTTATGCTATATCATAAAACGGCCTAAACTGCCTAGGATGCCAATTTGCCTAAGACTCTTGCCACATAAGCTGCTTTCAGGAGCCAGCAATAAGTATCATAAATACTTAAATATAAAAAGTTGAAGGATATTGGCATTCAAAGGAGATGACACTGTTAACTCACACTGCCAAAAATTTAAACACAATTGCATTTTGCTTTGATGTGAAATTTTTCTATTTCCATTTCTATTTAACCTTTAGTTTTTCAAATAGCCCTGGCAGTAGAGGGCCTGATTGATGGTTTTCCTTAACATGTCAACTATTAATTCAAAATCGAAGTCAAGCTCCATCGTGAGGCCCAGAAATCTGTGTGTTGGTGACAAGCACCAATGCATTAAAGTCAAATTCAAATTCCTTAAGCTGAACACTTGTTCCTCCTTATCTCCTTTTCAGTGTAACTGGAACACACGGAGTCTCTCAACTGTGCATCCTTGAGATTACAAAGCTATCTTTCGGTCTGTCTACATTAGCGAACTGAAGTTCTTCAACATTCCCTCTTAGGTTTGTCTCTCACCTCTTTGACACTATTTGTCACTATTTGACACTATTTGACTTTGACACTATCTACTATTTCTTCTCAAACCTTCTCCAGCCTCTCAATGACTAGAAAACAGTAAATGCAAACCAACCAGCAATGACTATTCAGAAGGATAATTCACAAAATCTCTGGTTTACTCTATGTTGATGTATGGATATGTATTAGGTGAGAACTTCCTTTTTTTTTTTTTTTTTTTTTTTTTTTAAAGAGACATCTGGGTGCGTTTTATTTTCTGTGGATAAATTCTCCTTACTTGTTTCACACACTGTATTCTGGGACTCTTCCCAACTCTTCCCACTGTAATTCCATCTCCAAATTATGTAATGCTAAACAGCAATTTTTCTTTCTACAAGCAGCCATCCAAATTTGTGGCAGGTATGAATTCCATGAATATGCTTACCTTGCCCTAAATTCAGAGCACTGTTAAAAATCCAGATACCGAGGCCCCTAGCTAGGCTGAGAGCACAGCATTCTCCCAGAAGCAACAATTCATATACAGATGCAGGAAGCATTTAAGGGTGTCCCATTCAGTCAGCTCAAAAGGTAACGCTTTGGCTCTTGTCTACAATACTTATGCCAACTCAAGGTGAGCACTTCATACCTGCCCAGCCAGTGTAAACAGTGCTATCCCGAGGGTCTGCCGACTTTAGGCCCCTCTCCATTTGCTGAAGAAGCTCTCGAATCTTATTGTTTAAGCGTTGTGAGAACTCAGGAGTCAGCTGTAGATATTAAAGGGAAAACAAATATCAAAAAATATGGACCACTCAACTTGCTGGACTACAGGCTATCAAAAATAGGAGAGCACTTCCTTTCCACTTAAACCACTTCTTCTGCCTGGGGAAACTGGACAAATTAATAAAACCTAAAAGGGCTATGACATTTTCCTACTCTATGCAAGAAACGTTCTTTAACTTAAATGTTCTACATAAGATTTATAATTAAATACTAAAATAGACTGCTGATGAAAAGGTGGCATGCAGTAATTCCCATCTAAGAGGGAGCATCTCTTATTTAAATCAATATTCTTTATTATAATAAAAGTCATCTTAAAAAATTCAGCACAAATCCGAAGATGTTCACTGTTTTCCAGCCATTAAAGAGGCAGCAATGATAACTCCCTAAGGAAACACTCTCATTGCTTTAGTTATTTAAAAAAATGAGGGTCAATGTTCCTAAAAATCCATTTGCAAAAAATGGATAAACAAATTTTAAAAATTGTACAAGTAGCAGAAGAAAGTCAAAATAAATTCATGGATATCAGGGGCCGTGGGCAGAGTGGAGAGAACATCAGACCTAGCATCAGGAAACCCAGGCCTGCACAATGCCTAGCCAAGTGAGGGGCTTCATCAATACTGCCCAATGAATGAGGCTGAGTGCTCTTAGCTCTCAGCACCTGCTATTAGCTGAGTGCTCTCGCTCTACTCATAACTTCTTTATGCTTCAGTTACCTTTATGAAGTCAGGATAATAACACCTGCCCCACCAACGTCAAAAGGTACTCTGAGGATTAAATGAGATCATTTACATCCGGAGACTGTTAGTACTGTTACAATTTTAAGCAGTCCAGAGGTCTATAACAAGTAATAATTTGGATATGGATTAAAAAGCCTATGAAGGTTGGGGCTGTGGGGGTAGTGACATCCATATGGAGACCCACCCACGCACTGTTATGCATCCTAAAGGCTACTGAAAAATATTTTGCAAGTTCTGTATACCCTGAATCATGAAGTGTCTTAAAAGGTCACTTTAATGTATCCCTCAACAATTTTAGGAACCTGCTATAATTCCCAAACTTGGATTTTACAAAGCAGTAAAATTTCAAAACAGTGTTGGGGAATATTACATGGGCACAAACATTTTATTTCACCCTGCAAGGATTATAAAAACAAACCTAACTACTACCTGTTAACATAATCTCCTTTTGGGATCCCTGGGTGGCGCAGCGGTTTGGCGCTTGCCTTTGGCCCAGGGCGCGATCCTGGAGACCCGGGATCGAATCCCACAACAGGCTCCCGGTGCATGGAGCCTGCTTCTCCCTCTGCCTATGTCTCTGCCTCTCTCTCTCTCACTGTGTGACTATCATAAATAAATAAAAATTAAAAAAAAAAACCATAATCTCCTTTTTTTAAAAAGGGTTAACATAATCTCATTTTTTAAAAAGGGCATCTTAAGCCTGAAAAAAGAAAGCAGGTTGTATCAGAATTATTATAAACGATATTAAATTTTACTTCTGAAGAGCATCTCTGATAAGGCAAATCAAACTATCAACCAAATCTGGACTGATTCTGAAGCACCACTATCATCCCTTATTTCACTCTCTGAAGAAGAAACCAGACTGTCTGACGGACACACTCCCATTATTTAACAATTTCTGCCAAGAGGTGAAGGTTTCAATAAGTCTTGAAAATACATTTAGGAAGATAAAACGTACTTCAATATTAATATAAAAGGTCTATGAATCTCAACTAGATAGAAGAGTACATCTACATGAGAACATGTCATCTTCTGTTCATAGATCATGGATAATTTATCATCTTGCCGGGCCTTACTCTGAGACCGAGAATGAGAACACCTCAGCCTCAGAAACAGAAGTTACTTTCTATTTGTCACATAATTGCATTTAATAAAGGTGACCTGCCTGAGAATACTGACTGCTTGTGGCAGACCACAAAATTATTCAAACTCTAGCAATAATCTGCAGAGTCTCCAAAAGCCCTTTTTTTTTTTTTTTAATGATAGATGCCAGAAAACACTCCTTACTCAACGTCTGTGTTAACAAATTAAGGAGGACAGATCTCTAGGGTCTGAACCTTGATGTTCAACACTAAACAATTTTAGAACTGGTATGCTAGTTTCTTTCTGGAATTGGTCCAAAACCATGTGTTAGGTAATAAATTACTTTGTTATTTTTGGAACAGAGTTTAAATTCTTGAATATCTTTTTTTCTCCCTTGGAAATGGTTAAATTTGTAAAAGCATTTAACTTATAAACAGGCTGAATAGTGAGCTTATTTTATTGAAGGCGTCTGTCATTAGGATAAACCCTCAGGCATGCTCTCTTTGCCAAGTTAGCATGAAACAGCAGGTCTCCCTCCAACAAGACCGGACAAAATACTTCAGCTTTAGGATCTGCAGAGCTGGACAGAACACAGGGCCAAATGGCCAAAAGGAAGCCATATGACATCAAGATCATTCTAAGAAGCTTTGCTTGGGTGGTTCAAGTTTGGTCGTTAAAAAAAAAAAAAAAAAAGAAAAAGAAAAAAATCAGGGGAGCCTGGGTGTCTCAGTCAGTTAAGCATCCAACTGTTTCCGCCCAAGTCATGATCTTCTGGTTGTGGGACTGAGCCCTAAGTCTGTGCTCAGTGTGGAGTCTGCTTCAGATTCTCTCTCTCTCAAATAAATAAATAAACAATATCTCTAAAAAAAAAAAAAATCAGACTCACTAGAGATTCACACACACTTTGGCACCCTTCTATCCTACAACTCTTCTCCACCTCTTTCATCCTCCTACTTGCATTACTGATGTAAAATGAATCCATCGTGACAAATGTTTCAAGGGAAGAACCAAAAGAGCCACACATCAAGTTAACTTGGCAGGTAGGAGAGCTCTGAGGCCATTTAGGGTTCACGAGAAATGCTTTTCGTATGGCGAGTCTAGGAGATATAAACTGGTAGAACTAAAAAAAAAAAAAAGTGCGTGCACTTCAAAGAGATCACTCTTCTGACCTAACCACTCTAGAATTTCTCAGCTGGGTATTCTTAGAAAGAACTGCATCTCCAAGGGACACAGAACATAAAGACTTCTAACTCTGGGAAATGAACTAGGGGTGGTGGAAGGGGAGGAGGGCGGGGGGTGGGGGTGAATGGGTGACGGGCACGGAGGGGGACACTTGACGGGATGAGCACTGGGTGTTATTCTGTATGTTGGTAAATTGAACACCAATAAAAATTAATTTATAAAAAAAAAAAAAAAAAAAAAAGAACTGCATCTCCTCTTGATTAGGTTCACTCAAAGAGGCATGAGAAAACACAGGCCTGGGGGATGTTACAATCAGCTTCTCTTTTGCTCAGTGCTTTACAAATAACATGATTAAAATAAAATAAAATAAAATAAAATAAAATAAAATAAAATAAAAATAAAATAAATTAATTAAAAATTAAAAAATCACAAAATAAAATAAAATAAAAATTAAATAAAAATGAAATAAATCAAAAAATGAATAAAAAATAAAATAAATAAAACAAAAAATAAAATAAAAAATGAAATAAAATAAAAAATTAAATTAAAAAATAAAATAAAAAAATTAAAATAAAAAAATTAAATTGAATTAAAAAATTAAAATAAAATAAAAAATAATAAGATAAAAAATAAAATAAAAATTAAATTAATTTAAAAAATAAAAATAAATAAAATTTAAAAATTAAAATAAAATAAAAAAATTAAATTGAATCAAAAAATCAAAAAAGAATATTGAAATAAATAAAAAATAAAATAAATAAAACAAAAAAAATAAAAAGGTAAATAAAATAAAATAACAGTTATTCCCCCCGCCCCCCCAGCTGTGGGGATGTCCTGCAAAAAGTGGCAACACTAGGGCGATTTTCAGGCCTGTGTCCCCACATTGTAACTTAGCACTTCGAGCTTAACGCTGCCTTTACCGCGCATCCCAGCTTCTCCATGTCCTCGTTTACCTGCCCAGGTTCCTACACACACCTAAGGCTGGAACATGGCACATGGGACATCCCACCGGACTGCTCTCCTCTCTTTCAACTGATCAAAAAAAAAAAAAGAACACAACACAATTGCATAGAAAAAAAAAAAAAAGACACATTCGCCAATTTTTAGGATCTAAATGATCAATGACGGAGCCCATGTCCCTGAGGACTAAGCTCCAGTTGCAGAGCCGGACCCGTGGCTGACAGCGGCATCTCGCGATAACACGCGTCCTAAGGGGGGACGCTCCCCCCTTCCTCCTCTCCACGCTGGGCCCCGGGGGCAGGGATGCGGGCGCGGGTATCCCACACTCACCCGCCCGGCACAATCAAAGTAGCTTTCGGCCAGGGATTTGTTAAAATCGGCGTACGGGTTCGGGAAGGCCCTTTGAGCCATGACGCCGGAGGCGAGCCTGCAGAGCGGAGGGAAGGACGCGGCGGGGCACAGGCCGGGGCCTCGGCGGAGCAGCGCGCGGGCGGGGAGGCTCGGACCCAGGGCCCACGGCGGCGCGGCTGCCGGGAAGCTGCACCTCCGCGAGCAGGCCGCCAGGGCCCAGCGCGCGCCGCGGCACAGGGACCCCGTGCGGCGCCCTCGGCTCTGCTCTCCGGACGCGGAGCAGCGAGCCGCCCGCACGCCCGGCCACGCCTCGGCCTCTCACGCAGCGGCCTCGGACGCCGGCAGCCGCGACGCTTTCACCGCCCACTTCCTGCCAGCCGGACCAATCAGGAGCGTCCACACCCCGGAGCCCCGCCCCCTTCTCGTGTACAGTTTGTTAAAGAGACAGTAGCGTGCTGTCGAAAGGGTTGGCCCGGGTGCTTCCTCCGGGGGGCGGGGGCGGGGCGGGGGCGGGGATGGGTGTCCGTGCCGAGTATTCCCGTGCCTTTCTTCTCTTTTATTTATTTATTTTTTATTTTTTTAAAAAAGAAAAACTAATTCAAGTGCAGACGATTCATTTTATTAAAAAAAAAACTAATTCAAGTGCAGATGATTCATAAGAACTAGGAATTTATCTGGAGAACAACAACAACAACAACAAAGGCTGCTTTGGGGTCTGAACATATTCCTATTTCTACTGCTCGGACTGAATAAAATCGGGGAGGATGATGTGTCTGCAGAGACCTTCCAGACTTTGTCTTTTGCTTCCGAAAAAGCAAAAGGGAAGAAAATAAACAAAACACCATTGCCACCATTAGCAGCTTGGAGGACAAAAAGCAAAAACAAAAACAGAGTATATTGAAGAGCTGCGTCCTGGGTCCCTTGGAGACAGTGATGACAATTCGCCCTCCAGGGCCCAAAGGCCGAGCTGTGAATGGCCGAGGGACCAGCTATCAAAGGGCAACCGAAACTTCAAGGAAAATGCATGAAAACACAAGACTCAAGTAGTCGGATCTGCTCCTTGGCCTCAGGTGGACCCTGATGCCGTGTCTACCTGAATCCTTGGCTACCTGATCATGGACCTGGAGTGACCAAGTCCCACAGAGCAGGATATCCGCAACATTGAAGTTCAATGTTTAACAGTCTCCAGTATCTGAAAATCAGTCCTTTCCTTAACAATTAAATCCCACCGGGTACATATTAATCCCAGCCTGTAGCTGAGAGAATCCTGGAATGCAGTTAAAAAAGAGTTACTGTCTCTACTCTTTTTCCTTCCTCTTGTTTCAGTGGAGGACTCAGGGCATCAAGCATGGAATTCCCGGAGCACTCGGTTGGTTAAGCAGCTGCCTTCGGCTTAGGTCATGACCTCAGGGTCCTGGGATGGAGGCCCGGGTAGGCCTTCCTGCTCAGCCGGACCCGCTTACCCACTCCTGCTATCTCTGTCACTATTTCTATCTCTCTCTCAAATAAATAAGTGAAATCTTAAAACAACAAAAACAACAACAAGAAAACCCCATTCAAGTGGTGAAGCTCAATCCCCACCTCCACCCCCATCTTGGTCTGATATTGTCCCTTTGTGGCTGCCCTCTCACAGTCTACATCTGACTCCCCCCCCCCTTGCTTTTTTTCCTAAACTATTGCCTTCTAAGACATTTGTTAGCGCTTTCACCCAATTCATGAAGATTTAGTAGAGGCCCTCAGTGAATCTCCGATTGGTACTCTTCCCATTTTAATAGATGGATGTGTGGTAGAGCAACTCATAAGAAAGAAGAGGAAAAGGACTGAGAGGCATTTTATCAATTAATTTTCTTTAATTATTAATGGCTTACTATCAGTTTATCTCGTTCGCAGTCTTTATGAGCAATTAGCATCAGTGCCGCATTTAAGTAGATTAATGACTACTAGAGGGAGAGAGGCAACCAAGACAGTAGATTGTGCTTGAGCAGAAATAAAAGACAAACGGAAGGGGGAAGATGGAAAAAGAGTAAGTAGAAGAGTAAGATGGAAAGAAGAAAGGAGCATCTTGAAGGAAAGGAGCATTCTTTGATCTTCCGGTCAGCTTGCAAGGCAGCCTCCCAAGGATCTTAGAAGGTAAATGGAAAATGCAATGAAAAAGTGTAAGGGTTTTTGCTCTCAGCACTATTGATTGTTGGAAAGGGATGTTTCTTTGCTGGGGGAGCCCATTCCGTCCATTAGAGTGTGTTTAGTAGCATCCCCAGCCCCTGCCCACTGAATGCCAGTAGCACCCAACTCCCATGTGGTGATGACCAAAGATGTTTGCAGATGTTGCCAAATGCCAAATATCCCTTGTGGCGAGGAGGAGGGCAACAAATTGCCCCTGGCTTGTGAACATTGAGATATAGCGTGACCAACAACTTTTAGTAAGATTAGGCAACTGTCTAATTAATTCCAGTGTCCTCCTCGTTGAAGATTTGGTTTGCTCGAATAATGTGCAGAAAGAAATTCAGGAGGAACCCGGGGAAGGAGGTTTTTGTTGTATGGGCGTCTGTATTTAAATCTCCGCTGCAGAAATGAACTAATTATACTCCTCGGTTTTTTGTATAACATTATCGGTGTATGCAAGACCTTATTCTATTTTAATTTTTCTCTTAATGCCCAGTTCCCACCCAGTCTTCTCCTCCAGAAGGCAATCACCACAATATGTTTAATTTATAGATCTTTGGAAAATATATCATGAATACTTGTAATAAGTGGAACAGTGCTACAAATACTCCACAGCTTGTGACCTAGATCTGTGTTGCTCTGCGTACAGTTGGTTGTTCTAGTTAATGTGTAATATTTTCATAGTAGACCTCCACCTCATTTTACTTATCCCCCCCCCCCCCCCCCGAGGATGGACATTGTTTCTCACTTCCACATCACAAATAACCAGCCAGGTATAGCCAGGCACATGTTTTCAGAAGGATCTGGATGTGAGTATTCCTGAGATGAACACTGCAGGCCGCCCTCATCTGCCATTTGGCTTTCCGCACTTTCGGTTCCCCCGTAGTCAGCCTTGCTCTGGACGCAGAGGGTCCTCCTTGTGAGGAATCATCAGAAGGTCATTAATAGCCTAACTCTACCTCACGATGTCTGCATCGTTCTCACCTCATCTCACCACAGGGGCCTTTTGTCATCTCACATCATCACAAGAAGAGGGAGCGTCAGTACAATATAATACAAGAAAAGATTTTGATGTAGAGAAACCACAATCACATAACTTTGATTATTATATTTTTATAACTCCTCTATTATTAGTTACTGCTGTTAACCTCTTACTGTGCTTAAGTTATAAATGAAACTTGATCTAGTATATGCCTAGGGAAAAAAAAATATGTAATATATGTAGGATTCGGAGCTACCTGTGGTTTGAGGCATCCACCGGGGATCTCGGAACGAATCTTCCACAGGTAAGGGTGGACTACTGTACCCAAAAGTAGATTGCTGTATCAAAGGACATCTTATCTTTGGTTTCCCTTGTCCCTTTAGAATGCTTTCCAGAACTATTGGACTAGTTTATTTTCCCTCCAATAGTATCTAATCGTTTCTGTCATTCCCATGTCCTCTCCAACACTGGTTATTATCTAATGTTCTAGTTTTCACAGTTCTAATGGGCAACGTGGAAATATCATTGATGGTTAAACTTTCAGTATTTTTGTTGCTGAGGATGTTGAGCTTTGCTTGTTAGACATCTGGCCTTTCTCTGAGATTTACTGGCTCATAAACTTTGGCCATTTTTCTATCGGGTATTGCGTTATTTTCTTGTTGATTTGCAGGAGTTGTTTTTGTTTTTTGTCTGTGCGTGGGGGGAGCAAGTTATTATAGATATTAATCTTTTTCTGCTTTATATGTTGCAGAATCTCTTCTGGTCTCTTAGCTTATTCGAGGGTATCCTTCCTTGTACCATAATTCTTCATTTTAATGCAGTTAAACTCATCCAACTTTGCCATTGTCATTTGAGGATTTAGCTTCATGTCCAAAAAGTCTTTATCTACTCCTAGGCTGCAAAGATGGCTCTCTGCATTTTATTTTTTCATCTTTTTAAGTTTACATTTAGGTCTGTAGCCTCTTTGGAGTTTGAATATAGCATAAGGCATGGATCCAGACTTATTTTGGGGAGGGTACAGAATTGTTTTGAAGGTTCAGATATAGTCAAAGTATGAGCAAGTTCTCTCTTTGTTAGTCAGAAGAACCCATAGATCTGAAATACTAGAAATCATGTAGAACCCATTTCTTTTGTTTTGTTTCGTTTTGTTAGAGAAGCAACCCAAAGAATTTCTCCTTAGTTCTGGCTCAAAAGAAAAACACTTGACGTAGACATACTTGTATTAGTCTTCTAGGGCTGTCATAACAAAGGATCACCAGATTGGGTGGCTTAAACGACAGAAGTTGATTGTCTCACAGTTCTGGAGGTTGGATATCTGAGATACAGGTGCTGGCAGGGTTGATTTCTTCTTCTTCTTTTTAGATTTTATTTATTTTTTCATGAGAGACACAGAGAAAGAAGCAGAGAGACATATGCAGAGGGAGAAGCAAGCTCCTTGCAGGGAGCTGATGTGGGACTCGATCCCCAGACCTTGGGATCATGTCCTGGGCCGAAGGCAAACACTCAACTGCTGAGCCATCCAGGCTTATTAGGGTTGATTTCTTCTGAAGCCTGTCTCTTTAGCTTGCACATGGCTGTCTTCTCCCTGTGTCTTTGCGTGATCTCTGTGTGTCTGTTTCCTAATCTCTTCTTGTAAGGACACCAGTCATAATGGATTATTACCCACCAGAATGACCTCATTTCACCTTAACTACATTCTTGAAGAACCCATATCTCCAAGTATAGCCACACGCTGAGGTTCTGGCAGTTAGGCCTTCAACATACGCATGTATGGGAGGGGGGCACAATTCTGCCCATAACAGTACTATTTTCATCTGTGGCTATGGTGGCTGAACACATTTATGGTTAATAGAGTTTTGATTGTTGATGATTTTTCAAGGCCCATTCCATTTTTTTATAAATTTAGAATAATTTTTTTTTTGGAAAAAAATATTAGAGTTTTACTTCTTTCATTTTGTAAATGTACCTTGTGTAAACTCTCAGGAAATACTCATTGTATTATTGCTTTTAGAACAGAATACCTCTAGAAATCTGGTAAGGTCTATGTTAAACTGAGAAAATGGGTATGATCTGAGAGCTCTTTAGTTTTGTTCTGATATCTTAGTTTCAAAATGTTACAGTGTGTACTAGTTACAAAGAAGGTCAGAAGCATAATCAGTGAAA